CTTAAAGACCCCCAGGGTAGGAGCCAGCACCACTTCCCTTGGAAGTTGGGTCCAGATCCTAGCTGCCCTAACTGTGAAGTAGTTCTTACAGAGACTACTTAGTGTCTTGTGTAGACGCCTCCAGTGAGAACAACTTAAATCATAGAACCAATATTTATTGCTTCGCAGGGAAGAATACAGGTCCACAAAGGGAGATGTCAGTTTTCTGGGATTAGATTAGAATTTCAAATCCAAAAGCATGACAGTCCTTCAAACCTGTTTAAGAGAGCTGGGATTAAGTTTTAAAATACACATGAAGCTCCCCTTTGGTTATCCTGTTAGTATTGCAGTTGTGCCTCTGATGTCTGCATGCTTGGTGCCAGTGCTCAGTCAAACCTTAATTTGACTTCTGTTTTTCTGATTGCAATTTTGTGCTGATACAATGGGTCACTTAACATCCTAATCTTGGGTATCTCTGGTCTTAGTTTTTAGGCATAATCTGTGACTGTTGCAGGCACAGTTGATCTTGAACACAAAATTATGGTTTCCCCTTGCAAGTCTAGAAGTCTAATCTTGAAAAATTTAGCTTTCAATATTCAGTAGTACCTAATAGATGGAAGAGGCTGGCGCAGAAAAAGGAACCTTGTTTTTCTTCAGTTTGTAATGTCTTTAAAATAATTTGAAGCTTGTTTTGGCTGTGTGTTGTTTTGTTTTTGGACAGAATTTCCTAAAGACACTGAGTTCCTAGAAGCTGTAACTAGTGCCTTGAGGGCTCTCTTGCAAACAATGGCATCAAAGAACATATCACAGGTGAGAGACTTTTCCAATCTTCCTAGTTTTCAGCAGAAGGGCCCCTCTACATGTTGCATGGATTATGCAATTGCCTAGTTAATTGCACAGTTTATTTAGACCCACTACATGTGCAAATTAACTATCATGTCTTAAGAGTCCACCCAGCTATAAAATTAGAGCTGGAAAATGTGTAATAATTTTATAGCTGGTTTCTATCCAACTTTAATTTGCATGTGTAGCAGGGTCTGTGCCTTTGTAGCTAGGAGCCCTGTAAACTGACTAGGCTGTCATCTGAAGGGGTGCATCATGCACTACTGTGGCTGAGAGTCCCCCAGCTGATATAATCCTGAGCTTTCCCTACAGTGGCAATGAGGTGTGATACGATGTGATGCTGGATCCCAGAATTGAGCTTCCTGCCATGCACATGTGGCATTTAGGATTAATATAAAGGGTAACAAAAAGAAATATAATGGCTTGATACCAAAGACCCTCCTTGGTCAGTCGAGTTGTTACTGGGTCACTTGAGCTGGGGCATTAAAGGTGGCCAGGTAGTAGGTTGACTACATTGTTGCCCTGTGTGACAGATTTTAGAAACCTTGCCTTAACCACAGCAGCTCAGTGGGCTACTAAACTCATGAGGTCCTTTCATAGTTTTCATAGACAGGATGTTAAGAGTACATGAAGGTTTGGCAATTATAGCTGGCAAGCTACATGTGGCCTGCCATGCAGTTGTATCTGGCCGGTATCAAGGTAGGGTGTCAGTGGCAGTTGGGGGATGGGGGGAATTGATGGTATTTAACAGCAGGCATGTCATGAGCACAGTAGCAGCAGTTGGGCAGTGGGGGATGCAGCAGCAGCTGGGTCACAAGCGATGGCCTATCTTCAGACCATGCTGCATTAATTTAGCCCACCACTCCTGGTAGGTTGCCAACCCCTGGACTAGATGATCTAAGTTTCTTTTGACATTAAACTCTATGAATAAAGCCTTTCTGTATTGTGAACTCTAATGGCATAGAGAGAGGTAGTTAACTGAGTTAGTTTGAAGTCAGGCAGAAAGCAAGGTAGGTTGGCACTTTAGGGATTAACTGAACAGTAGTTTATGGTTCTATTTTTTTTTTTTTCTTCTGCTGGGCCAGAACGACAAGCCTCAAGATTGTTCTGGAGAAATAGCTTGAAGAGTGCAAGGACACTTGATCTTTATGCTTCGGGATTCACGTTTCATAATATTTGTGCTGATTATCTGATGTAGGATTGTCTGAATATCTTCTATGGAAGCATATGATTTAAGTATTAGTCTTATAGTAGTGTTCCTATGGAAGTTTTAAATGTGTCTGACAAGTGCCTTTTGTTTCTTTTAAACAGTGTATAACTCCTGAGCAGCTGATAACTTTATGTGAAGCTGGAATTCAGTGCAGCAATGTAAGTGTTAGAGTAAATGTAGTTAGTATCCTAGGAATTGCTGGGAGTGTGCTGGCAAAAGTAGAAGATTCAGCTGAAACACTAAAGGTAATATATAAAAAGTGTGTGTATGTGTGTGTGAACCTGAACACTTGCTTAGCCAAACTTTTTTAATGTTGTGTTATTAAAAAAAAATGTCTCTTTCAGATGATTGGGAAATTTCTTCTTGAGGTTGCTGTGAAGGACTCTTCACTTGTGGTAGCTGGAGAAGCTCTGGATGCACTTTTTGATGTTTTTGCAGATGGTAAAGAAGCTGAAACAGCAGCTGTTGAGATTAAATTGCTCCCAGCACTGAAAGAATTCCAGCCAGTCTTCAAAATGAGGGTAGGTATCCCATACCCCCCCCCCCGTTGAATCTAAGATGAGTGGGGTTTTCCCCCATGCTAATGGGGGGGTGTCATCTTAGATTCGAGTAAAAATGGTATTAGTAATGACTACTTTTATTATAGGTGGGCAGTAAAAGGATTTAGAACATAAATTAGTCTGTGTAAAAGTGTGTGTGTGTGTGTGTGTACAAGCATGTGCTTGTGAAAGAGTGCAAGACAGTAGTGTCTTGCCAGAGGATATCAGAGGAGTTCTTATAAAATTGGCTGATCCAGTCTGACAGATTTGCCTTCTCAATTGTGTGCGTGTCTATGTATATCTCTGTGTGTGTAATCTCTCTCTCTGCAATATATATATTTATTGCAGATACGGAAAGAAGGAAAAAAACAGTACAGCACGGACCAGTTGTGTGTCCTAGACAATGTAAAAATGAATTTGAGAAGATTCATTGCCTATCAAGAGACATTGGAGAAAAAATGACTTCTTGAAAAAACAATGGACTTTGAAAGAATTATAAATAAAGGCTTTCTTGATTTTTATTTTCTTGTATTTAGAGGTCTAGAATTGGAGGGGGAATGGGATTTTATGTTGCTGTTAATGTTGCTTTTCTCATACGGTGTTTTTTTTATAATTTCTGGGTTGATGCAATATTAAAGCTGGCTTCAATGAGTAAGTGCAGCATTACTTAGAGACTAAATGTTAACAGTGATGGAATGTGCTTTTCCAATCTGGAGACCTGTAAATAGAGTTTACTCTCCTTGTATAGAAATCTGTGTATTTTGGTACAAATTAATTGCATAAGAAAGTAATAAAAATTATATCTTGGTGCATAGTAGGCCCAAGAAACCATTTAAAAAAAAAAAAAAGATATTTTGCAAAGGTCTAACATTCAGCTACTGTTTAATGGTTATTGTTTGCTCTTAACTGTTTCTAGAGCTGAAAGTTTCCTAAGCAAAGTATGATAAACACACAGACTGTAACTGGCATTTACATCTGTTGCCCTTAGGCTTATCAAAGAAGACAGACATCTCTTTCTACATGACCAGTAACTGTAGTTTGGGAAAACTTGTAGAAAGTACTTTTAAGATTTCTGAAAATCTGATTGATTTACTTCCCTCCTTGAGCATATGTTAAGCTTAAAAGTTTGTAGTCAGGGAAGTATTAAGCCTAATTACATACATAACTGTTTTTATATTGAGGTATAATAAACTATTTTTTATAATTGGGTAAATTATACCCCACATGAATTATAAGCCTTTCCCAAATCAGTTCTGGGATTTGGGAAAGGCTTATACATTTGGGAAAGGTTTATAAAATTCATTATATATTCTAAAATTCATTCACTATTTTTGAAGCATGATGTATGCATAAAGATGAATAGAAAGAAACTCTGTGAAGCAATTTTTATTATCTAAAATTGGATGCTTTTGCTCTCCTGAATTAAATACTTGATTTAAAAAAAAACTTGGAATGTGTATGTAGCTTGGAACAACAGGGAACATAGAGGAAAATACAGAAGATGGGCTTCAAAACTTTATTCACGTTATTTGGGTTACTAAGGCTGAAGCTTAATTCTATTCAAAATTGTTATAATTGTGATTTTTAATCCTGGCAGGCCAACAGTTAAATCAGTTTCCAAAAAAATTACATATTTTCTTGTCTTAGTATGAATTAGAAGGAAGCAGGATATACTTCTCTCAGCTTCTCTTGAAAAGGAGATATTATTCCCATATGCTGTCTTCATACATTTCTCTGGACATGATGTTGGATCTCTCTACTTGAATATATACACCTGTTTTCACTGTGAGTTAGGAGACTGCTTTTTTAATCACTTATGCAATAACATTACAAGGCTTAGCATTGAAAAGAAATTTGTTGTTGTTAGTCTTCAAGAATGCTCCCCTCCCCTCCTCTCTGAAATCTAAAATGCATACAGATTAGATTTGACTGCATAGCCAGAAAAACTTTCTAACAACAGCTGTCAAAAAACAAAGAACACCAAGAAGTTGTAGAACAGGGACGGGCAAGTATTTTGGGCAGAGGGCCGCTTACCCAGTTTTGGCAGGCTGTCGAGGGCTGCATGGGTAGCTCCACCCTGTGACAGGTGCCCCACCCCCTGGTCACCATCTTGGAACCAATGTCTGAGGGCCAGCACCAGTGGGGCACAGAGTGGGGCACAGGCTGGCAAGGGTCTGTGGAGCTGGGCTGGGCTGCACCAGCAGGGAGAGGGGAGCTGGCCCAGCTCTACAGAGCCCCTGCCAACTGGGACCCTGCACTTCTGCCACCCTGCTCTGGGGCCTGCTGGTACTGGCCCCGGGACGCTGGTGCGGGCCCCGTGTTCCTGCTGGCTCCCTGCCTGCTCACACCCAGTGCCCCCCAGCCCCGC